TGGTAAATGTGTGCATACACAACTTAATATATAAATTATTTCCTCTTACAAGTTAAGTAGTTTAGTATTGTATTTTGAAGATAAGGATCATATTGATTAACCAATAGATGTACATCACATTTTGGAATATTCATATATGATTATGCAATACATTACAATAAATCACACTAATAACCAGTCTTACTCATTATTTCATATAAAATCATACATAAATTATGTTGGTTCTGTGCAAGGATTTAGATTCTAACGAAGAAAAACATACTAGTTTATGTTTTGGACATATATATATTTCGATATTCGGTATCTGCTTCATACAAGTCTGTAAATAATCCCTTGTTACATAAATAAATCAAACGACTTATGTGAAAAGTTTTATATAGATGTTAGTAAAACAATATGACTTTGTTCCTTTGTTAATTTTATCAGTTTCCAATAAAATGATTTCACTTTATAAATGAAATATATATTACTAGTTGTATTACGATATAATGTAAGTTTTGAGCTTCAAGTAATTTGACTTACATTAATCTGTATTTCTGGACACATTGTCTAAAAGATTTTATTTAAAGATATTGTGTGTACTGTGTTTGGAGGGAATTGGTAGAAAGCCTTATACATAAGTTTTGTGTTACTTACCATTTGTTGGTAAGTTCAATCCGAAATCCTGAGGCAATCAATATCTTTAGAACAACATATATAAGCGAACAATATTGTTTTCGATTAGATCCTCATCAGGCTTTACTCTAATATACAGTAATATTTATGTGCATATACGCAATTATTAAACCAATCAAGGTAGTTTATAAGTCAATGATAACAATGAAAACGATTACATAATAAGTGAAACGTGAAAAGCAATCAATATCACCAAAACGGTTGTAGATTGCTTCATTCACTGACATGCTAAGAAAATGAAACACGTTAATTTTCAGCGACAAATCGATGTAAACTTCTCGGCCTAACTGACTGCTGATTATGATCCACTATGTTCAGTGTTAGTGTCTCTTGATGTATTACTGAGTAACATACATTCGAAAACCGTAGAAAATAGACCTTTCTTCAGTACCGTAGAAAAGGCTTATTGGTGAATGAGAACTAGGAGGAAATGTAAATCTATGGTCTCATATAGATTGCGTCTACAATCTAACAATAGTTTAGGCTATTGATAAAACTAGGCTAGTGTTTAATTTAATCATATTTACATTTTTAAATTGGCTCACGCGTTATGCCGTTGAAAAAAATTCAGTATGCTCTTGTTAATTAAATAGTTGGGTGTACTTTGTTGTTGACGGCTACAATGCTCGAAGTGAAAATGGGCTGACGTTAAATACGTTTCTATCTATTTAATAAATGTTATTTCTCAAGGTGAAGCTGAATGGACCATGTTTTGTTTGTTCAGATATTTTAGTCTCCCGATATATAAGCGATTTCTGTCGTCATTCTTTTCTCCACAGGATGCAAATTTCTTCTGAAAAATTTTGAACTTTGTGAATGTGTCTTGCTTCTTTTGAGCATAGTGTTGTCATATATTTATTCATACACTCTTATGCTTTCTAGGTATTCAGAAATGTGATTTAAACATTTTATTCCATATTTTTTACATTGGAGTTGTCTAGATTATCTACCTTTCATATACAAGCTTAATGAGATGATTAACTCACTTTGACTCCTAGAAACTATCATTGCAGTGTAGATGATTTTTGAGCGAAATGATCAGCTAAAAATAACTGTTGTTATCATCGTCTTGGATTAATCAGTTGAGAAATACTGGTTTGTAAGTACTAGATATAACTTTCTTAGTAGAATGCTCACTCTCTGATATATTGATTTTGTTTTCAAAATGTTTATCTATTCCATTTAATTTAGTAACAACAAAAGTTCCAGTCAAAGTACGTCACATTTATGTAAGGCTTATAAATTTCATGTATTCATTATATATTGATTATTTATTACAGTTTACCAAAAGTGGTAATTAAATATGAAAACTAAACAAACGTTTAAAATGTAGTTAAGTACATTAATGGATAAAACACATGATTAGTAAAATCTCTTCAGCTCTAGTTATGGATAATATAAAAATTATGTTAGAAGAGCACGAAAGCAAAACTGAATCAGTTTAAGGCATGTGATAATTGGAGTGGTAGATAAGAGATAATAGTAACAGAGAACAAATATAATGTTTTACTTGCTGTTAAGTTAATTGCTTTACTTATCTATGAGATAGAAATAGTTGTACACGGCAAATTACACATGGACTAAATATATATAACAATTATCACATCATAAAAGGATATTATAATTCTGCCAAAATATTAAAAAGGATTATTTCTGAGCAATAGAGAAAACATATCTTTTTGATACAATTAAGTGACAGGATTTTTGAACTAACCGAACCAATCAAACCTTGATTGATGAAATCAAAGATAGAATCATCCATTTGAATAATGTAAAGTGGGAATGATTACACATTATCACTTCATCAAGTTATAATGAAGTAAAAATTGTTTATCTGTAGAGTGATTTAATTAACAGGGTTAGTTAAATACAGAAATCTTTGAAAATATATAAACTGAACATTACTGTGAGTTTTAGAAACGTGACTTATTATGTTAGTTTTCTTAGTGATCTACAGAAATACTGTCTACTATGTGATGGTCAGTAATTGAAATGTAACAAACTGATTACTTTACTGTATGTTGCATGAATATATGAGTAATTATCTTTATAAGCAGTTTGAAGATGACTTATATACAGTCAGACATGACTCTTTGTGGACGATATAGAAAAATAGGGGAAAATATGGTACCAAGCAATGTACAAATATCAATTGTTCATGGATTGTAAAATTACCAAAACATACCGTACTCGGAAATTTAAAGATAATGTTTTATAATTGCAATATGCGGTTAAACCAAAGTACTCTACTTGTTACAGTTGAAAAGTAGACATTCCGTGTAATCTCAACTATTACGAAACCTACAGCCTCGTTAATTTGGAATAAATCCTATCGAGTGCTAGTGTATCTACAAAAATTGTATGTATTGCACTCGCTCACTATCAGTGTTTTAAAATCGGGTGTCAAACAATGTTTATAACACTTTATGTATTTTAGTCGGATGCATTTAAAGTAAAGTATTTGTGCACCAATTCATTAAAAAATGAGAGAAAAAGACCATAAAGTATTGAATGACTAGTGAAAGTATCATCGGTATGTGTGTGGAATTCTGAATAATCCTCAGTAGGAGGACGTAAATTATTTGACAATATTGATAAATGTACTTAGCTGTCAAATTATGGTACTGTTATTAGTTTGGTTTATGGATGCTCTATTCCAGGATATTTATCGACTAGACTGACAAATCAATAATTTAAATTTGTATTTTTTATAGTTGAAAATGGTAAAATTCATTCTACTGACATTTTTCGATTTAACGTTATTACCCTTATCATCAAACCATTTAACCGATAAATTTACTACTGAGAGTTTGACATGCCCATCAGTGATAATTTCTAATGAAAAAACAGTAAAAAGCAAAGTTGGTAGAAACGGTTGGTAAAACAATTTTTTTAAAAAGATGTATTGATAATTTGTACGATAACAGAAACCCCTCATTTGTTTATATAATTAAATGATAGAATCAGAACTATTAATCAAATTTTAGGAAAAAGCGGGAAAGCATAAAATTGTTTAAATAAGTCGTTACCTATCATTTTGCAGACATTTGTTATAACTTGTGGCTTTGTACGAGGACAGAGTAGGATAGAGAATGTTGGTCGGTGGCCTATGCACCATTGGGAGTAACAGGCGTAAGTAAGTAAATGGCCTTGTGCCCTATTAATGTATAACGTAATGATACCGCCAATTAGAGAACAGTGATCTATCGACCGGACCATTGACGCATAAAACCCGTACGAGCAATCGAGAGTCCTTATCGGTCCTGCTTCCTTCCTAACCCTGCCTGTTAAATCCAGAACATCAATCTCAGCCTCTGCGATATGAATCTTGCATTTCAAGCATATTAGGTTTATAGACAAACCAAACAGACTATATCATGCCACAAAATAGAAAACAACATTTGTACAAGATCTATCCAAAAGTGGCTGTGGATGTGGGAGACTATAATTGATAGACTGGGTATAACTCAAGAACGGTAAATCGTATAATAATAGTCTATGAGTCAAAATGAAGCTGATGATAAGAGGAACATGAATATGCATAAGTTCGTTACTGAATAATTATACAATAAGTGTATATGTATCGTATTTATCCATAAATAGTTCTTCAGAGTTACCATTCATAATTGTCTTCGGGATATAACAACATTATTATGTGATCATTCAAAAATATGCTCTCAGTTATTCAGACAAAAATATTATTATGAAATGAAGAAAATAATTCTAGTTAAGGACAATCTATTTTGCTACTGTGCACTTAAATTGCAACTTATGAATTTGGTTACTAGTGAATATGATGTGATATAAATCAATAAAGATGTGTAGAAGGAATGAAGTGTTCAGGGCCGAATCTTCACAGATTTTAGGACAGTAACGTGGTTGTAAAATTACGAATTACGAATTGTATGGTATTTTAAAAACACGTATCAGATTCTGTTTATCCCATAAAAGTAGGATTATTTCTACATGTGATTAAGATCATTATACTTGCAATAAATTTTTTGGTGAAGATGTATGAGATAAGAAACAATGGAATCTTGATTAGGATGTTAAGTGGTTACTGTAGTCTATTAAAAGGTCAACATGTTTGGACAAATTTATTCTGATTCAACTTTTGCCTGACTCAAACAGGACAGCAAAAACAATCATTGTATTCAAACAACATTTATGAATAACTGAAATGACAGTAACAAACAAAATTATGCAGTATATATATATATATATATATATATATATATATATATATATATATATATATATATATATCTAAGAAATTCCAAGTTGTTCAGTTAAACTGGAAAAAAGGTATATATATATATATATAGTTATTTTTGGAGATTAGAAGGTGGTTCGCTAAGGTACTTTGTTTCTCTTAATAATCTTTGATTATTTTCAGAAATTTTACAACATTTTTGACACAGACGACAATAAGTATACCTAAGTGTTTCTCGAAAATCTCTATTAAGAAATAAATAAAGAAAAAATGTTGATGCGAATGCAAATTGAGCCAAGTTAATTGTTATCATTCTATATAAATGATAAGTTACACATGTTTGTATTTGATCAATAGAGCATACACCAAGTGTAGTAAATACTCGAACATAAGCTAATGCTTGAGGTACTTGACCAATTAAAAATAATAAAATCACAGCTATTAACAAGATAGTTAATTTTGTTTGGGCATTTTGCCTTCGTTGTTTAGAACGATCTTTCAATGTTGGTCTTTTGATTTTAATACTACTATTATTATTATCATTACTATTATTATTATTATCGTGAGTATTCTTTCTGGAAGTCAACTCAACTTCATTTTTGTTATTCATTTTTTCTGGAATAGCAAGTTCATTTCCTTCAATTGACTGTAAATTAGATTCATTAATTAATTTTTGTTCACCGAAATAATTTATAGCATCTGTACAACTATCTTGTGATGCATCATCGACTTGAATTTGTTGTTTATGTGTTTTTGATTTGCTAAACATATTCCTTGATAATTTATTTTCTTTACTATTAGTATTATTCTTCATTTTATTATTGGTAAATCGACGATTATGATGTGATACAAGTATAAATAATAAACAATTTGAAACACATAAGAAACATAATGGAATAATTTGAACAAATACAATACGTAACCAAGAATAAAATGCATAATATGTTGAACGTGAAAAACTAGTTAAATCACTATGTAATTGTAATACACCATCAACATATTTTAATGATACTCGTTGAATTGCAAAATATGGTATATTAAAAATAAATGCTATTATACATATCGAAGCAATTAATTGACGTGTACTTTTACGCGTAAAATATCGTTTTGATAAAGACCAATGTTTCATACTGATATAACGTTCAATAGCAAGCGCTACAGTTAACCATGCACTGATATTTTCGGTCATATTTGATACAGGTGTTTCAACATATATACTGTACATATAAATATAGATAGCTGCATCCGTTGCATGATGATTCAAATGTGGAAGGCTAAAATGAAACAAAGTACAAAAAAAGTAATACACTCTTTTCAAATTCATAGTTATTCTTTTAAAATAAAATGAAATATGAAATGGGTTGTTCAAAAATGAATATGCCCTTTATTGATACGTTGTGGTGAGAAAATTACTGCTTGCGATATTCTGATGATTCTAAAACACCAATTTTACATTTTACTTTCCAAGATAAAACGTTAATGCGATTTCAGTAGATAATTTCTCTTAAATAATAAATAGCTATAAAAACATTTATTTAAACTTCAACCAAAGATGTAGAATTTTAAAAAATACTTAAATGTGAGAATTCCAGAAGTTTTTGTTTATAACTTCAGTAACGCTGTTCATTATATTCTTTAGGGTTTCACCAAGTTTTGGGTGTTATATGGAAGTTACCACACGTGCTTTGGATAAGTGTTCGAAATCAAAGTGATGATAATAATTAGAAGTAGCGTTTATGAATAAATGTAGTTAAGATCATCTTGGATTGGTCGAAGTTAGACATTAACACCGTTGGATGCCGGCTCAGTGGTTTAGAGGTTAAGCGTTCGCGAGAGACCGATAAGTCCTTGGTTCGAGTGCTTCGGGGCGGAGTCATAGATGCGCACTGCTGAGGAGTCGCATATTAGGACGAAACGGCCGTCTTCTGCTTCCAGGTTTTCCATGATGATCTAGCTTCAATCGACTCATGAATTGAACTATTAATTAAGAACAATTTATATTTGTGTGTTAGAGAATTAAAATAAAATGTATGTGCTATAGTTACTATAAATCAAAATTAAGATAAAAGACGTTATTGGTTGTGTAATCTTTCAATTAGGTCATATTTATATGTGAACATCAATACAATTATGCAAGAGATAAAATACTAAAAATTGCGAAAAGAAGGGGGTTGCAAAACACAAATAGAGATTATTTGATAAATAGTCAGTGACTATGGCAGAGAGAGGCTAATAACACTTTCCTTCCCTCTGCAAAATTAATAAAATTAGTATTTTCTGTCTTTTGATTATTGTGAATGCATTGCTTATATTCCCTTGATGTCCACTACTCAAAAGTAGCTTGACAACTATAATCGTAAAGACTTTACCCTCCTTCCAGATATAGGATCCTAGAAACAAGTTCATATGACTTAGTAGAAATCCTTCCTCTATACTTGCCACGTCGGAAGGGTAATGATCTACCTTTGTATGGTGTAATAAACATTTTGTGTTATCTAGTGAAACCAGTTGAGTAGCAACGATGCTTCATTTCAGTACTGTCTTCATTCTTGATATGGAGAGCCAATCAGAAATGGCCTAATGCGAAGGACAGTCGATGGCAACCAGAAGTGACGTCAATAACAAATGCATTTTATTGGCCAGGAAATTGTTCAATTTCCTAAGAATAAAGCGGTATATATGGATGAACATTTGTGGATTTTCTTCGGTAGTCCAATGCACTTTCTCCTTCAAATAATCAGTTGGATGGTTATTGCGTACCACACCGTGTATCACTAACAGATTTCGAAAATCGTCCGTCACAACAATTCTATCAAATTCATCTGAAATCTTAACTTTCTTGAACGAGAGACAGACAAGCTGAGGTTTTTTCAAACATTTATCTGTTTATCATTGCTAGAGTATTCTTTTGCATATTTCACAATAAATTCTTTCAAAATTCATTATTAAATAAAATACGTAAGAAAACGTAGGGTACTCTGGATCAAATATACCATTATTATTTACACATGATCTGGAGTAAAATAAACAGAAGTTTTAGTGAGATATATGTTACCCAATGGTATAAATAAAGTAGTATTACTAAAAATGATTACAAAGGAAGTAATAATCATTAAGCATCTTAAATGGTAACCATTATATATCAACCTTTTTTCCATATTTCTTTATCATATATGGGAACAGTAATTATTAGTTAATTTTTTATTCTACTTAATCATATGTTTCATTTAAGGCAAAAATTAAGTCTATCATGGATTAACTTGTATGAAAAGTTTATTCAGTGTTATCTATTTCTATATGTGGGGTAATTTCTTACAGAAATGGTAAAAAAACAAACAATTTCAATTTTCCACAAAAAAATTAAAAACAAACAGAACTAGTTTCTAATGTTATAAAACTATGGAAACTATTTGTTTTTTTTAAATTTTATTATTTACAGTTCAATAACACTGACCTCATTTACACACCATCTTTGTATTTCCTAAGTATTATTTTATATAAACCAAATATTCCATTTTTCTTTAATAAATGTATTTTATTGTCCAATAATGAATTATGAAACAGATTGATCTTATATTAGAATAACAAATTTAGTTCTATTTAAATGATCGACATAATATAATGTGATCTGATTCATAATCTATTCTCTTTTTATAAACATAAAGTAGGTTCCATTCAAATGATAAAACAAAAAAAGAGGGATTAACATAATCTGTTTGATGAGTTTACTGGTCATGATGAAGTATGAAAGAAAATATATCAAAAAAAAACAGAAAGAAAAATGGAAGTAGTTCACATTATCTATGATCTGATATACATAAGATTAAATAAGACAATTTTTATTTATAATACTCAAGTGTATGTACTTCATTAATTTAGTAAAAGACAAATGTTCAATTGATCAAGCCTATTTTCTTAAACAAGAGTCTCATTTCATCGATTGTGTTTGAAATTTTAATCATCTTTAAAAAAGAATAAATAAATTTCGTTGAATTCATTTACTTAATTATTTTCTTCAAATAACATTATAGAATAAATTCACTTGGAGTTCCTTTACTTGTATCTACCTTTTGTTATTTAGGACAGCAAATGATCAGTCTCTTATTGAAATATGTGCAAAGATGGATAGTGACTAACAGTGAAATCCAGGACTCGCGTTTCGTCATATTTGGGACTCGTCAGCTGGATGTACCTGCATCTCAACGTTGATGTTCAAACCGAGACTCGAACCCAGTACCGTTCGTTTTGAACGCTATTGCGTTATCCATTTAGCTACTGAGTCCTGATAGTCACTTGCTTGTGCAATGAGTGAGGTTTTAAATTCACCTGATTTTGCTTACTTGTATCTTCTCATTGATATTTATAGCTCGCTAATAAAAAGTGTTATTAGATTTTATGTATTACTTGATCAATGTGTTTTATTTAATCACATAAATATTTGTATAAGGCGGCACCAAATACGTATGCACCATCCTTCGTCATTCACTTTGTATGAGGGCTAGAATACCGCCCAGGTATACAAACCACTACTTATTTCTTAATCAAACGATAGGTCTTAATATAACTCATATAAGGAACTCATGATAATAATGTATCATAATAGTTTTATATAACTCTGATGAAGATGGTTTTTCCCCATACGCCACTGTTGTTAAACGCTTGGAACTTAAATAAAATCTGAAGATATTTGATTTAACTAATGAAACACTTTACTAAGTAATTGAGAAATTTATAGAAAAATAAACAATTGTCATCGTTGATTTTTCCCATAAAGAAATAACTCAATGATATGCAATGTTATCATTTTTGAAAGAACAATTTATATGAATATGGAGCTTATTGAAGTATGTTTTACTCGAACTTAATATTCATCATACATAAAAGACATTCAATAGTGAATAAAAACTGTTTGATGGTTGAGGAATTAGGAATTACAAAAATTATAAAATCTGTAATATAAATAGAATAAGAATAAAATTTTAATTAATATCAGAATGGGTTTTTTGTGGAGATTTTAGCAAATTCAGTAGTTAAGATCATGAGTCAATTGAAGCTAGACCACCATAGAAAACCTGGAAGCACTGAACGGTAGTTTCATCCCATTGTGGGTTACTTGAAGCTAGACATTAACACCTTTGGATGCCGACTCAGTGGTCTAGTGGTGAAGCACACTCGCACGAGATTGACGTCACGGGTCCGAATCCTGCTAGGCGGGGTCGTGGATGCGCCCTGCTGAAGAGTCTCACAATAAGACGAAACGGCCGTCCAGTGCTTCCAGGTTTTCCATGGCGATCTAGCTTTGATTGATTCATGATCTGAACTACTAAAATTTAAATTGTTATTGAATAATAAGCACTAAAGTGAAAGTCTATCTTCGATGATAGAAAACTATCAAAATAAATGTGAATGCATGATTAGAAATAATTAATAACAAAAAAGATATAAGTAGCTATTTATTCATTATGCACAAGAATTCTACATATTCTAATTAAATGATAGTTGGTGGATATCAATATAGGTTGTTCTGAATATAGAATATTAAATTACAGAAACCATTTCAAGGGATATGTAATACTGGCAGCACATTATTTTAGATAGAATAGTTATATTTTGACTTATTGAAAAGATCTGATCACCAGTCTTTATAAATCATGGACATTTAGAAGAATTGATATTGGTTAATGCGGCAAAATGGCGGCAACATATGTGTTACGCCTGTTACCTCTCATGGAGGAGTATCGGCCTCCCATCAGCACTCGCCATCCAATCCTGTCCTGGGCGACCCTTTCCAGTTTTTCCAGTTGTTATTCTTCCTTTTCATGTCTGCATCCAATTCCCAAGGCAGTGTGTTCTTCGGCCTTCCTCTTTTCTGTTTTCCCTTCAGGATTCGTAGTTGGCGCTTGACTCATGATGTGGTTTGATGATTCCCTCAATGCATGTCCATCCACTTCCAACGTCTTTTTCTAATTTCTTCTTCAGCTAGAAGCTGGTTTGTCCTTTCCCATCTGTATCTCTCCTAGAGTTACTGTCTATACCAAGCCTGGGTTAAGAAGTAGGGTTAGGCATGGGGTCGGCAACCCCGTCCGGTAGAAAAAGTCTTGCTAAAAAAAACACCAACCAGATTAAATAAATTAAAAACGGCAACATATATAAAACATTTTATAAATATTTAAATTGAACAAATTTATTTACAAATGAAATACCTTATTATTCTTATTCTGATTCATAGTGTATAAACGTTCATGTGTGAAAGTGTAATATAGCAGGTTAAAAT